ATATATATATATATGTATATGTATATATCCATTAAGTTTGCTATGTTGTTCTACAGTAGCCCAATATTCATTCATTCATCTTCTAACCGCTTCATCCTCTTGAGGGTCGCAGGGGGGCTGGAGCCTATCCCAGCTGACATTGGGCGAGAGGCAGGGTACACCCTGGACAGGTCGCCAGACTATCGCAGGAGTAGCCCAGTATGGACAAACCAAACACTGGCTCTAGACAGGGTCATTCATGTTCTCTCATTGACCACCATAGTTCTCCTACATGCTTGGCACATGCGAGAAGTTTCAGTTCTGCTGCTTCACCACTAGTTGTCACTAAATCCCACATACTAGACCTTTAAAATGCAACTGTCATTTTTTTATTGGTGCCTTTTGTGTTCAGCTTAATGTACATTTTTTCCAATAAAATAATGTTGGTAAGAATTTTTATTTATTTATTTTTTATTCAACAAGCAATTTGTTGTATTTTAGCGGTATACTGAAAGCAGCAGAAAAGCAGAACTGAGTACACTGAAACCCTGTTCACAATCGACGAGTGTTACGTGGAGTCCTCTTCTAATTTGTAATAACTGTGCTGGTCGTCTGTGATCTTCATCCTGTGTGAATCTGCCATGTCCATAATTGGTCAAGTTATTCATTATTTATTAATTATTACCATAGAGATCATGTGATGATATTACACCTGTGCCAATCTGCATCTCAGTGATTTTAGGTCATAGTTTGTCTCCTTTCTGCCTCGTTCCGTTCGAGAATTATGGAGTCTGCATTAGCAATTATAAATTAAAGTTTTGACAGTTTTCTGGGTGCAGGAGGCTCATCTCGTTACACAGCATGGAGACCCATTCACAGAAGGAGCAAGCTCAAATCCATCAGAAGAGCGAAATCTCAAAAGATGATGAGATGGGTGACATGACACCTGTGACAACTTGTGGCAGAATCAGTTCTGTTTGTTCAAAATCACGAGGTCCCCTGGTAATACTAGTCCTGTGTGAATAGGACTTTCAATATCTATTCATTTATCACCAATAATATTGTGATAAACTCAGCACTGGTTTTAATTCACAATCTCTGATAGTTTTGTGAGACAATGAGTGGTATTGTCTCAACACACACTAACTGACAAGCGCCTCCTCCACATGAGCTTGCACTGATAAGCAGTGAGCTTCAAGTAAATACGTCTGTTGGCATGAACTGTCTCTAACTCCATGATACAATCACCTCCTTCTGTTTAACTGTAGGAGCCAACAGTCTGAGACCCCCAACTAGAAACAACAGAAAACAGATAACAGGAAGAAACAACATGATTACAACAGATACGAGAAAGCTCTCAGAGTGTGTGCACCTCTGCCAAAGGCTGCATAACTATTTTAGTAATACAAAATGTTTGATTTCTAATCTGCATTTGGCCTCAGATCTGTACATGCAAATGATGGTGATTGCTATCAAACAAATAAACAAAGAAATGTGAATAAATACTAACCAAGTGAGAGTGTATCTGCTGTAGTCTTTGTATTTCTGATTTAAAAGCCTTCTAATGCAAACAGTACTAAACAAATGTTGTCAGTTATATCTGTCATTCATCGTTTGATTCGTAAGTTGAATTAAAAGCTGACATCCTTAATGTGCTCTTAAACCTCTCTGCACGTTTCCTTCCTGTTTGTCCAGACTGGAAGAGTGGTATGTCAGTGCCTGCAGACATCGCCATAGCCTACCTGATCCAGGGCAGCTTCTACGGCCACTCCATTTACGCTACGGTCTACATGGACGCGTGGAGGAAGGACTCCGCTGTCATGGTGGTGCACCACATCATCACACTGGCACTCATTATCTTCTCCTACGCCTTCAGGTACGTATTCTAGTTTGATGTTTTTGCCTAAAAACATCTACTTTTGACCTGGTTTTGACTGAGTGTAAAATGTCAGTGTATATCATATTACCACATCAGGCCACATGACAGAGCACAGATGCACTGAGTCATATGTGTGATGAAAGATACTTTGGTCACTGAGGTTGATTAACACAGTTTCAGTGCTCAATTTGCTAGTTTGCACCACCCAAATCTGAAACTTACTCATACTTCTACCATACATTCTGTGTTGTTCAGATACCACAACGTAGGGATTCTGGTGTTGTTCCTCCACGACATCAACGACATCCAGCTGGAGTTCACAAAGCTCAACATCTACCTTAAGTCCAGAGGAGGAGGCTATCACCTACTCAACGACGTGCTGTCCAACATGGGCTCCGTCAGCTTCAGCATCACCTGGTGAGGCTCAACAAAGATGCACAAAAGGACACGCACACTTGATGCAGCTTCATATTTCTTGTCTCTCTGATTCTAATTGGACGGACATGAATTTCTATTTCTGGTTTCTTTTGTGTTTCCAGGTTCTGGTTCCGTCTCTACTGGTTCCCTCTCAAGGTGCTGTATGCCACATGTGTGTCCAGCCTTCAGTCCGTCCCCAACATTCCCTTCTACTTCTTCTTCAATGCTCTCCTACTGGCGCTGCTACTCATGAACATCTACTGGTTCTTGGTGAGGTCACATAGGTTTATTACCTCAAACCCAGAAAGCATTCATGTTCAATGTTTGTTTTGTCCAAACTGCCGCAACAATCTGACCTATTTGTGTTTCCTGTTCTGTGTAGTTCATCGTGGTTTTCGTAGTGAAGGTGCTAAAGGTTAAGGAGGTGAACGACGTCAGAGAGTACGAGGACGAGGACGGCGACAAGGCGGCAGCCAGCCTGCTCAAAGAACCTAAGGCAGAAAACAACGATGATGATGCTGGACATCACAATGCTGCTGAGGGGTGAGCTAACACCTACAGACCCTGTCATCTAACTGAAATGGAAGCAGTCTCTGTCTGTCTGTCTGTCTGTCTGTCCGTTTGTCATTTAATCTTCGGCTGCACACTTGTGAGGTGTATTGCTGAGGACTCAAGGAAGTGCAGTGTTGAGTGCGAGCTCTTGAGATCTGGAGGACATATTTATCAGTAGTGCGTCATGTACACTTTGTGGTTTATGGAGACCCCTATTAATTGTTACACCGCCAAATGGCATGCTGGGTGCAGCTCTCTGTCCGTCACAGATGAAGGCACAGAGACATTTCAAGCATTAGCAACCTAGCTTTTGGACTGAATGCCTTTGTTCCCAGAAATAGCCTGGTTCCAAATAGTTAGCTGTTAGCAAATGACGCATATACTCCCAAGGAAGCGCAGTTGCAAGGGTAAAGTTGTTTAGATAAGCAGTTCTCAGGAAAGCTGAAAGCAGCAATACCGGAGGCCGAGCAATCGGCCGCTCCGAACAGGCACGTTTTGAACAGGCTCTGCACTGGTTTGTTTAATCTGACTGAGAGACCTCAGCTCAGGGTGGAAAAATACCACCAGCCAACTGCTGGCAGGTTTTCACTGTAAATGTTGAGTTTGAAACCAAACCAGTGGTTTACGTTGCTATTTGTAGAATTTCCACATCAATAAATCATTAGTTTTGAGACAGGTCATTATGGAGAAATGGAACACTGTAAAGAGGAGGCCTGTGTAGGTTTTTGCACCAATTGTAATTCTAATGGCTGATCTAATGTTATGAGACAGAGATCTGAGCTATACCACAATAAATATTTTAGAAATTAACACATTTTATTTATTTAAAATATTTGAGAAGATACATGTTAACACTCAGCCAGGTGTAATTCAATATCCTAAGAAAACAGATCCACGCCAGCAGCTCTGTGAGACTGTACCACTCTGAAATACTAAATGCTAACATTAGCATGCTAACATGGTTTAGCAGGAATAATATTTGCCATGCTCATCATTTAGTTTGGCATGTTAGCATGCTAATATTTGCTAGCTATCACTGAACAAGTCCTGATGAAAATAATGTTAGCTGCTAGTGTGGCTAATTATAAAAAATAATATTTCTCAATATAAATATGGCCTAATAAGATCATTCATTTTGCCAGCATAGGCTCTGTGTATTGGCATTAAAACTATTTAAATGTATGTAATACAATGAATGCTTGTTTACAAACAGAGACCACACTGATGCAATTTTGTTTCTTGTCAGCCACATTCTGCGTGATATAAAAGCTCCTATCAGTGCCACCGCCCTGTGTTTAATACTCTTAATCATTTGTTAATGCTATTACCACTACTTACATACAATCACTCGTTTATGTTGGTAAATGGTACACATAGCACTTTTCTTTTTCATTTAATAATTATTTAAAATGGCGGATTTTTATCATTTTTTTAGTCAGTTGTTGTCTCCAGTGGACAAACAAGTCAATGTCCTCTGTTTCTACTTCCAGACAAACCATTGTGTTACGTAATGGTAGTCTCTTCTAATGCAAAAACACTCACTCAGCACTTTAAACACATGGAGCTTTAAGCAAGAAAAAATGCAAACTTGACTGAAACTGAAGTCTATCTGTTTGAACCTTTATCTGAAGTTATGGATCCATCTGCTGACTGACATGTGTACCTCTATCATCTGCTGCTGGTTATTGTGGTACCCTTTGACCTCTGACACTCTGAAGACCCTGAAACTGACGACATCCCTTTCACATTTCTCTTAGTTAGGAATAATTACATAAAAAAATAAGACTGTCTAGGCTGTTTTGTTGTGGTACAATCTAGAGATTTAACTCACATTCTCCTATCTAAATGGAGAAATATAGCTAAGTACATTTACTCAAGTACTGTACTTAAGTACAGATTTGGCGTTCTTGTACTTTACTTGAGTCTTTTCTTTTCATCCCACTTTCTACTTGTAACTCGCTACATTTCAGAGGGAGATATTCTACTTTTTTATTTCACTGTAATTCATCGACATGCAGCTTTAGCTACTAGCTACTTTTTTTAGGTTAACATGCCCAACAAGCAGAGCTAAAACATTTAGTCCATAATCAGTGAATCGATTAACAGAGGATTTATTGGCAACTGTTTGAAGATTGTTGTTTAAAACATCATGAAACTATATTTCAAGCATTTCATCTTCACAAATATGAAGAGTTACTACTTTTCCCTCCAGTTATTGTAATAATTTTAATTAAATTTTAATAACTTTACAATATGGGCTGCTAACTGCACAAAACATAGGTGTCATTGTGATGACTTATTATTTTCACAATTCTTACAAACCAAAAAAATCTATATACTAATAGAAAAGATAATCAGCAGATTAATCCATAATGAAAATAATAAATTAGTTGCAGTCACAAATTAGTTAACATGAGCTCCACCTTGAACAACTACAACAGTAAAATCCTGATCCTACATTGATGCATTTGATAATTGTTTTAGTCATTTAATAAATCATGTAAAAATATTCCATGCATTTAACCTTCAAAAATGTGAAGATTTGCTGCTTTTCCTTCCAGGTAGTGTAATAATTTTAATTATGTTTATATACCTTCCCAATGCGGACTGTTAATTGTGCAAAACAAACATTGTGTAGGTGTCTTGTGAGGCTCTGGGTCATTGTGGTGAACATTTATCACTATTTTCACAATTTTTATGAACCAAAAAATCTATAAACTAATAGGGAAAATGATCATCAGATTAATGCATAATAAAAATAAAAATTAGTCGCAGTCACAAATTAGTTAAGGTGAGATTCACCTCAACCAACTATAACAGTAAAATCCTGCTTCTACACTGATGCATGAGAAGCCTTATAATAGTTTTAAGATATGTATATTTTTGGCATTGAGTACTTTTACTTGTAATACTTTAAGTACATTTTCCTGATTATGCTGACATACTTTTACTTATCATTTTCAATGCAGGACTTTAACTTGTAATAGAGTATTTTTACAGTGTGGTATTAGTACTTTTACAGCAGTTAAGGATCTGAATACTTCCTCTGCCGCTCTCCTCTAATGAAGTCCAGGTGTAGATGTGGAGAACAGATCTTCCACTCAGCTTGTGTAACCAGCGGCCCTCACAAGTAAATAGGATCAAAGAGCCCGAGACCATATGGAGATGTGATTATGTGGCACTGCTTATCTGACTGGCCTTGACCACCGCTGATATCCTCTCTGCCTGCTAATGCCTCACACCTGCTGATCACCTCACCTGACAAGCTCGTTCTCTTCTTCCCATCCTGTCCTTCACTCTCTCAGTTCCCTGACACTCTCTTGTTTCTGTGTTGCAGGAAGCACGTGCAGAACGGGATCACCAAGGAGAAGCATCTATAACAGGCTCTCCGTCGCCACCACCTGGCACTAGGCAACAAGTACAAGCAAGACAAGACGCCCTCCTTGGACGGCTCACGCTGAAAAAAACGTGGCTGGAGAAGGGAAGAGTGTCACAAGAAGTAAAAAAAAAAAAAAAAAAAAGGAAGGAAAATAGCGAGTTAGGCTGCAATGAGTTTTTACTCTTTTTATTTGTTTTAGAACATTTCATTTCATCGCTGTCGTTTCTGTTTTGTTTTTATTAGAGCACTGTGAATGTTATTTCAGGTGACTTTTTGTCTTATCGTTGCTAATTTTACATTTGATAGATTAATAGAAACAAAAATCAGTTTAAGTGAGAGGTGGACTGTGATTGTCACGTACAGTAGTACAGGGTGTCATAATCACCACCGTCAACCTGAACAGCAGACAAGGAACAGGTTCATATAGGCCTGTCATGGCTCTGTAGACATTTAGACCCACTGTAACCTTTAGCAAAAAGCAATATGCTAATTCCTTAGAGGTGATCAGTGATAGAATGAATTCCTCTTGTCCTTTAACCTCCGTCCATCCCCTCTGACTCCAGACGTGAAAAGGCTAAAAATCATGATTCAGACGGGAAACACTGCGTGGTTCTCTCAATATCATTTCCCATGGCTGCAGTGATGCAGCAGAGCCCGCCTGGCGTTGTGTGCTGCCGTTTCACCACATGTATTGATTTCCATATCATTGCACAAGTCAGCGATGGCGATCGCACAGCTCCGGCGTCCATCATTTTGAAGTGAAAAGCCACATCGGTGTGTGTAGGTATGTGCGTGTGTTTGGTGTTTCAGGATGGATGTAGCTGAATCTTTTAAACTCAAAACCATTCACAACATTTCACCTCTGAGTTTATTTCTCTCTTTGACATTTTATCTCTTGTACTGATGATCAACAGGCATTGGGAATATTTAATTGTTTGGAAAAAGCTTTTTTGTTTTTTTGTTTTCTCGTCTTTCCTACATGTATGTTGCGAAGCATCTGTTGCTGCACTGACATGAAGGCATACAAGCTGGTTGCTGGTTTAATGACAGCAAATAGCTAGAATTGATTGACTGGGTTTCATCCTCATCATTTGATTTGTTTAAACAATATGGATTTGACTTACATTTATAACCAGTTTGTGGGTGGTGGCGGCTATCAGGTTCACATGAAATTGGAACAATAGCCCAGAACTTGTGTAAAGATAAAAATCAGTATGATAAAAAAAACATTATGTATGCACATTATGGTATTCAGGAATGCATGACATCGAATGATTTTGGAAATATGCTATGAAATTGTCTTACAAACAACGAAGAAAAAAATCCTCTAGCTATGTAATCATAATGTCTTTATTAATGTCTAAGAATCATCTGAAAAGTGATCTTTCGTTGAAGCAGCGGTGACCACTCAACACACATCACACTGGCTGACAAACACATACAAACCAGTGTGTGATAAACCCTCATGTGGCGTCTAAATGTGGGTATTTTAAGATACACACAAGATGAATTTTGTCCCAGAAATCCCACATATGGGAAGCGTTTTGATGTCATCTGTAATTTGAACATGTTAAATTAAACCACAGGAAAGGGTTTCCCTGGGTACCCGCTGGTTTACTGTGTGTGTGTTAGTGGACACACAGCTGCCGCACCTGCAGAAAATAAGGGAATAAGGGATATTTCTATTCTTCCTACCTTCTCGATCAAATTCAAGCTCTTGTTTCGATGAACAGCATGCTTGTGCTGCTGGAGCGGGCCGCAGATGTTGTGCTGTTTTCTGTTTGTCTTCCACAACCCCCACATGAGCATGTGGGGAAAGGTTAAAACTAACTTTTAATTTTACGTTAAACTATCACTATTATTGCTGTAGTTCAGGTTATCATTGATGATTTTGTTGTTGTTTTTTTGGAATTGCTGCTGTTTTATTTTTCCTCTGAGAGCACTGTTGGTATTCCAGGTTTTTTTTTTTTTTTCTGCTACATACGAGTCGGTGATCGTCTGCTCAGATCAGATAATTTCCAGGGAGAGTTGGATTAAGTCTCAGATCTCTGCCCTTTTTTTATCTGTATGCTGGCTTACACTCATCTTACTGTAGTCATTATACACCTGTACTGTAAAGTGACATGCTTTATCAGACATGTCACTGTGTGTAATATATCAGACATTCAGAGTCCTGTGGCTGACTGGTTTTACTAGCATGGTGTTCTGGCAGGAAGTGACCTCTCAGGTCTTAACTGCTCAACTGTGAGACTATATGATCCATAGTTTGCTGATATGTTTTTGACACGATGGCAAGTGACAGGAGTGAAGTTTGCAGTAAACCCACAAAGACCTGTGATCTGGATCTGGTCGTCCGGTATGGTACTGTGTGCGAACGGTGCACCTTCAATCTCTCCCCCACTGCGTCATACTACAAACCGTCCTGTGATGTGACGTATGAACAAGTAACTACTACTAGGGGTGGGCGATATGACAGAATATTAATTTGCTGTACTGTTTACACCGTGATGTCAATGCTGTAAATCAATGAACTGTTAATGGAAATATTGGATTTTTTAATCTATTTTATGTCTTTTCAGGCATTTAATTTGATACAATAGTTCAAAGTTAATTAAATCATCATGTGTGTTTGTATGATATGAAATAACTTCAGATTCTACCCATGTCGCCCACCCCTGACCTCTACCCAGATGTGATGAACTATCAAAAATTGAAGGAAAAACAAACATTTTTAAAATGTCAATTAATTTGTCTTTTATTGTGGATTTGGCTGATTATTATTTAAACATCCGACATGCCGGACATGTGTTGCATGTGTGGCTCAGTTCAGTCAGACAACTTTTAATGCACAGCGCTGATGTTTAATGACCTTGAGATCAGGGAGTGAGGATGAAATGATGAAGCTGTGTTTGTAAAGCATCAAAAGGGTCGTCACTTCCTGTTTGCATACACTTAAATCAGAGGGTTAGGAAGTGGCGATAAAAAGATGAAGCAGTGTTTGCGGTAAGGCAGCCCTATCTGTGCTGCTGCTTCACTGGTCAGTTTGTAAAGGCTGCTTTGGATTTGTGTTGTAGTGATGTGATAGCATGTCTAGGCTCGAACCGTATCACTGGTTTTCAAACATTACGATCTATACAAAGAAATTTAGGGAGTCATGATAAAAGAAGCAGTTGAGCAAGAACACTGCAGAAGCAGTATTGTAACAACTACTTGGCGTCTAGTCTCTGACCTCATAGCTCCCTGTATGTATACATTAAGATCAGGGACTGACAATAAAAGGAGCAGTGTTTATAATCTGAGCTAAGACATTTCACAGGCTGCAGTGGATTTGTGTTGCAGTGAGTACAGTACCGTAAAACTTCCAATTAGTAGCCCAAGCTATTATTTGCTTAAATCACTTAACTCAACAGGCCTATATTTGGGACAGAAGGAATAAAGGAATATAAATAGCTTACAGGGTAATCAAGGAATGGACACATACTCAGAGGAAGGGACTTGTATTTGTCGTCATATCCCTAAATTTAAATAAATTATGGTCTCTGGCAATCACGGTTTTAGTAAAATGAAATGAACCGAGCTAACGATGTGTAGCATCTCCATATTGACAAAAGTTTAAACATTTCTATTTCTATGCATGATCTAAACAGCTAAGTGTTACCTTAGCAATTTGGTTTTATATGCCAGAAGAGCTTCTGTAACAATGAACAGCTTAGCAACCAGACCAGGCCTCTAATTGAGACAGGCTTTTATTTGTCAAAATGTGTAGCCACACCAGGCTAGTAAAAGAGACTGGGCGTTTAATTAGGCTTTTAAATGAAGTCTTATGGTATAATATAATAATTGATGTCTAGTCTTTGACCTCATCACTCCCTGTTTCCATACATTACAATCAGTACAAAGAAATTTAAGGAGTGATGATAAAAAACGATTGATAAATTGAGCAAGAAAAATTAGAAAGGCTGCAGTAGATCTGTATTGCAACGATTAGGAGTATGATGTAATAACTGGCATCTATTCTCTGACCTCATCGCTCCCTGTTTGCATTAAGATCAGGGAGTGACGATGGAGTGAGCAGTGTTTACAGGCTGAGCAGTGACAGATGTTTTGCACTGAATATGTGGAGTTGTCTGCCTGAACTGGCTCGCACGCTTCGCCTCCATTATGACACAAAGTCACGATTGTGCCAAAATGTCCACCCAAATTGCGAGGCGAGTGTTTGTGGGAGCTGGCGACAAGCGACGAGGAGAGCTAGTAGAGAATGAAGGGCTGAGAAAGCCCTGCAGGTATTTCTTATAAATTGCACTGTAATTTATTAGTATTATTTTTATTGTTCATTCGTAGATCAAAATTAGAAAAGGGAAGGGAGAATTTGGGGATTTTTATGACTTTCTGGAAAGAATCAGTACCTAAACCTCTTGTTAATTTAACGCTACATGTTTTTCTGGACCATTGATACACTGTAATTGATACAAATTGCCCCCCCCCCCCCCCCTTTTTTTTTTTTTGTCCGAGCTCAATTTGACCACTTTCTAAATCTAACCACTTGATAAAGACACATACTTGCTCTTTTGTAATGCAATTTTAATACCATTCAGCCAATGTTATCATTTTTTCCCATAAAATAAAGACATGTCAGTAAACAAGAGTCGTGCTCCTCGTGGTTTCTTTTTCATTAATTAATTTATTTTTTTCTGAATCACAACTGATATCATTTTCATTGCAAAGATCAAGTGTTGTGGATGAGGTGAAACAGAGTTCAGACCAGAGGAGAGTTCATTTCAGTGCACAAATGAAACCTTCAATAAATTAAAAAAAAAATCATATGTACCACACAGTATTTCCCTCATGTCCGTAGATCATAAAAATCCTGTCATTGTTACCATGGCGACAGGGGGCAGGTGGGTCACAGGTCATGCAGTAACACATGGAAGATACAAAAAGGCAAATAAACACCATTCACCCACAACAAGGCAGAGAAAAGGTCAAGGAAACACTGCGATGTTACTTCTACACACACCAGCATCTCATGAAACTAAATTCCAGGTGTGTTTAAGATATCCATCCCCATTTTATCCAACACCCTCTGTGTTACAGCCCACTTTAAGACTTCCAGTGTACAAACACCGCAGTGCTGGCTTGACCAAAATCTCAACACGGCTTTAAAAATCTCTGATTAAGTGGAATCACATTATTGCTACAGTCAGCAAAAGGTCAAAGACATGTTTCCTACTGATAAAAAAGGAGTAAAGGGGGAGTTTTATCTCATCATGTGTGGCCGTTGCACTCCAACACACCGAACACGCATGTCCTCTGATTAGACAAACATGTTTGTTGCATGTGACATTATTCAACAGGACTGAACATCCCCAGCAAAACTTTATCAGGAATAAAGCAAACAAAAAAAGACTTTGAGCAGTAAAAATAAGACACATCAAATCACACAGTGACAGCAAACAGAAAAAGGTGGCACAAAAAGTGAGGAGAGAATTTCACAGGGGATCTGCTTTAAATTTTTGTAACATCATATATTAACGGGGAGATTAATACATACTTTAATTATTTAGCAAGGATTTTTTTCATTCAACTGAATATTTCTTTTAATAAATTCACTACCAAGGCGATGGAATCAGGATCATCTAAACACTACTTCACATTTTATTCAGGCAACTCATCTTAACTGTAAATGATATTTGTCATATGAGTCATTTTCACTGAGCGTTTAAAGGATAAGTTCAGATTTTGTTTTTAGTCTGCCTCAATACAATACTCACTCGCTCATATATTAAATAATATGATGATGTTAATCGATGTTGAATTTAGTGGCATCTATTGGCAGAAATGTAATTACAATATAAGAGTGTGTTTTCTTTCACCAACATGAAAGAAAAACCCTGAAACTAAGAATCATTGTGTTGTCGTTACCTTAGAATGAGCCCTTCATATCTACATAAGCAGCAGGTCCAAGGAGCTGCCATGTTTTTACAGCAACCCCGACAAACGGACATGGGCAAACTGAACACTAGCTCCTGATAGGGCCAGTCACGTTTTTGCATTACCTGAAGGCAACCATAAGGACAGCGGAGGGTATTCAGTCAGTTGCAATCTGCAAACTCACCACTAGGTGCCACTAAATCCTACACACTGGTCCTCTAAATTGTTTATCAAGCACAAATGCAAAACATTTGCCGTCTTTTTTCAATGTGATTTGTTGCCTTTTATGATCCATATTGTTGTAAATTTAAATTTCTGGCTTTTTCTTCAGTTACTCTGACAGAAAACGCAATTTGAATACATCATCTTGGACTCTGATGATCTGCAATTTCACCATTTCCTGACATTTTATAGACTAAGCGCTCAATTCGTTAATTAAAAAAAAATAATCGACTGATCAGTTGATAATGAAATTAATGTTTAGCTGCAGCCCTGAAGAGATGGAAGACATAGCCAACAGTCCTCTCTGTGCAAAAATGCGTTCTGAAGTTCATCTGAAGCCAAAATGAGGCCAAATGGGTATCCTCTAATGTTAGTCTTTAAGGTATGACACAAAAAAGACTTTAATATGTTCTTCAGCTGAACATTAAAAGGTGTTTTTGCACAGAATCAGCACTGTGGATTTAGGGAGGGGGTCTTGATGCCAGCGTGGAGTTAAAAAACAAACAAACAAACAAAAAACAATTACAGAAACAGGAACTCTTTAAATGTCTGTATAAAGATGTGAGTATTGTATTTAAGCAGATTGAAATAAATGTGAACCTCTCCTTTAACATGTTGGGTAAACACATCTCTCGACAAAGGAAATTCTGGGCTAAACTCTGTGGTCAGTTTCTCCCTGTAGCTGCCTGAGACAACACGACGTCAGTTTGGCAGAACGATCATTCATACAGTATACTGAGAGGACGAGTAATGAGGCGTGATCGGGAGGACAGCAACATCAGGAACTCCCAATCTCATCGAGATCTCACAGGCGTCGACGTAATGCTTTACATCCCTCACAGGAGTCAAATAACGGAATATTTCCAACACAAGGGATCATTTTAAATGAATGAAAAGACATCTGTGTTCATGAAGACAGGGAGAGTGAGAAATGATTCCTGATTATTCTGGTCCGAGAGACCAAATGGATTAAGTTGGCAGCAGGACAGGATCTGACATCATAGTTTGTGGAGCGGGATGAAAGAAATGAAAGTGATTCTGCTGGTTTAGAAACCATCATGAGAACAGCAGCTTGGCCCAGCTTCTGCGTTCTTACTGGTTAGAGTTTATTGATCTGAGGAGAAGGGTGGGATCTGGAGAAAACAAAACAAAAGAAACAAACAGAAAAAGGTTGTCGTGCACCTTAATGGGCCTTCGCCTTGGGTTGGGTGATTCTACGGACAACACTGTACAGGACTCCAAAGTTCTGTAAAAAAAAAACAAAAAAAAAAAAAACAAAGGAACACAAGCTGGGTTGATTTCATGCATCGAGAAAGAAGACAAACAAAACATCTCGACACTGAAAGCCTTTTTCAAACGTGGAATACTAACAATGTTGGTATCATCTACCTAAAAGTAAATATTTCTGGGCTTTCTCAGCGAGGAAAATATCACTTCAGCTCTGAGCAAACACGACAGCCACAATGCCTGCTTGACATTTGTCATCTGGTGAGCAAGAACAAGCATTGAGTAGGAAAGTGTCAATATGAAGAAAGGAGAGGTTTTTAGTTCCCTCACAGGCTGCATCAGTGATTGATTTTGAAACTCAGTGTCTCTGAGGCCTTTATTAATCACCACTGTGAGCTCAGCTTGGCTCCTCTTCTTTCTGCTGAAACCCCTTATGAATGTCCTCTATTGAGTTCAACACCTAATTTAATTCCCATCCATCCACATGCTCTATGTTTTGCAGGATATCATTCATCCAGGTCCACTGCATGACCGAAAGCTGTAAACTTAGGAGGGAGATGCTAACGTGATGATCAGTGGTTTTCAATTGAAAGACATCAGGAGAAACTCCTCAACAGCCTCAAATTGGCTGCCTCTTGGTGTTCTGTGGTTGATTTAATAGATTTCCTTTCTGCATTAGAAATGATAAATGCATCACAGCGCTCTAAACAAGGCAGCGGATATCTCTCTGTGCTGCTGCAGCCTTTACATTAATGTGACGGCACAGAGTTCAGACTAGTGCCATGTTAACAGTGATACAGAAACATTCGTAGACCTCGTAGGTAGGGTTGGGTACCGTTCATAATTGAACCGATACGGTACTGGTACCGGTACCGGTATCTGGAATTCGGTACCGGTACCACACGGTACCTTATTTCGGTACCTTTTAACCCTATGGGCCCTAGGCGTTTTTGGGGTATTTTTACTGCCTTTACTTCTAAGCTCATATCACAGTCATTATAAAGGCTACATACACATGCTATATCTTGTTTTTTTTAGGACAATCTGGGCTATCCAGATTTGCCATCATTTTATGTTCTTCTATGTGCCTGTATTTTATATTAATTTTTATATCAATGAAAAAAACAAATCTGTGTGCCTAAATTCTTACATTTTTACATGTATCTCAGCATAGCAAGTTGGAAAAAGACATATTCTACCATATATGAAGAGGGGAGACTCTCTGGAATCTGGCAATATAAGAACCATGATGCTGGGACATTCTGTCACTTTACAGTTGTCCAAAACATGTGGTTTGTGCCAGGTGCCATGTCCCCCTCAATGTATATGGTGACTACGGCCCTGTCAGCATTCATAATTAGGCTGCAGTTGTCTGGGTGCGCAAAGGTGAAGTGGCTGGTCTTGTCATACAAAGTTTGATGGAGTGTCAGCTGGACAATATGGAGATATTTGCATCTTGAAAGCTGGACTACAAATGTGGATAGACAGGGAGAAACACACACAAGCCTAAGACGTGGTAAGATACGATATTCCTCACTATATGAAGTGACTGATAACAAGATCTGTATAATGGATTATAAAGAAATCCGTCAAGTTTTTATTTTGTAGACAATTGATCTGTATTTAGAGCGTGATGGGATGACAGCACAATGATGCGTGTGGTCCTGCGCTTTCATGTGATATGTGTGGCATTTCTGTGCGAGCCTGCGTTCGCGAGTAATCCATCCAAGAGTAACGTGTGTGCAAAGCTGTATGAAAGCTCTGTTATACATCATTTTATTGTAATTTTTCCACTGTGAAAACATTGGAGTTCCGACAAGCGCTTGGTCTTGTCGGAAAGCTACAATTCTGCTGTTTCCGCTGATATGCGGTCGCGGAGAAAATCCACAGAGAAGAACGGGTGTGAATTTGGACGCACTATGCGTCAGGTACCGAAATTTGGCACCGTTTCATTTTAAGTGAATCAGTACTCGGTAGTACCGACGTGAATCGGTACCAAGTACAAAAAGTACCGAGTTTCGGTACCCAACCCTACTCGTAGGATTAGTATCCTGCCTTTTTCTGTAAAAACGACAAATTTAAAGAAATAATAAAATAAAATAACTGACAAACATGTTAAATTTAAGACTTTTTAAGACATTTTCATACCACTTTAAATTAAATATAAGACCAAACTTGCAATGGAAATACACACAAGTGAAAATATCCTCTTTCTAAGTACAGACATTCATGTCAGTTCAAAATAAACAATTAAAACGACCCTGA